TAGCTGTCATGGACTTACCTAGTTTAGTTGCATCAGCATACGCATTTATTGCACTGTAGTTCAGGAATCGGGAATAAAAATAAGCGTAGTAATTGGTATTTGTATCAATAATTTTATTTTGATTATCTATTATGAATTATGATTATCTATTATATATATTATATAAACTTAACTATAACTTATTAACTATAACTTATATAAACTTATGATTATCTAATTGTTTTGCGTAACTTGTCAGGAGCACCTGTTACTGTCGGTGCTGCCGAAGCACGTGGCAGAGACCATGAGACAAGATCTCGGCAGCGGCGGCGACGGACAGTTCAAGAAGATCTACATGAGCAGACACGAGAACGTCAGGTGATCACAGACAAATATAACTAAATCTTCAACAACCTGGAACACAAGAGTGACGCTGGAAATATCGATATGCTCAGTAAAAATGCTAACTGAATAAAAAGCGAGTCGCCTTAATTAACTTTGTGATGCTTTCGGTGAGCAATTTCTTAGTTCAATTTATCGTAAGATTCACACGTAAAATTTATGTATGATTTAGCTTTAATATAGTTTGTGATGGGCAATGAAAGGGGCGACAGGTTTTTCGTTGGCGTGTGGCTAAATAATTAGGAGTCGTGGAGTTTATCCAGACCCTCTCTCTCTCCGGATATTTTAGTTATACTCGACACCGAGCCTGTGCGGGCGAATAGCATTAACTGCAGTTAGTGTAATCATAGGCTTAGTTAATTTTTATTATTAGGCTTCAACTAACTTTCATTTTGGCATTTGATGAAGCAATAATATATGTTTATCAGGCTACGTGAGTAGGTTGATCTCTGCATCTCTTTGTTGCATGTTCTCAATATCCCTCAGGTCATATGGAGTTGACTATTGTAAGCTAGCACGCAAGTTCTCTAACAGTTAACTCTAGCATCCTAACATGATATGGTATCAATATTATTGCATGACATGATATTCATAACACTTTTCGTGTGTCTGGGCAGTATTTTGTTCGCGGACATCGTTGGCTTCACAGCCATATCGTCGACCTACACGGCGTCTGAGCTCGTCAAGATGCTCAACGAACTTTTCGCTCGCTTCGATGGTCTTGCAGAGGTGGGTGAGATTCATGTGGTGTTACCGCCACCTATCTTATAGACAAATATATGTTTAATTATTCTGTACTTATTCGTTTTTTTCAATATTCCATTATTAGTAAAAAATGGAACATTGCTTGATTGGTTAGCACCGGGTTCTGTTAGGTTAGATTTCGGTTTTATTCTAACTTTTACGTTTTAGCTAAAGGTAATTCTCGCCCGTAATGGTTATTCTCCGCGTAAATGTAATTCTCCGCTGTAAAGGTCATTCTCCGCCGTAAAGGTAATTCTCTGCTGTAAAGGTGATTCTCCGCCGTAAAGGTAATTAATTTCTGCCTTAAAGGTAATTCTCAGCCGTAAAGGTCATTCTCCGCCGTAAAGTTAATTATTGCCCGTAATGGTTATTCTCCGCCGTACAGGTAATTCTCCGTCGTAAAGGTAATTCTCCGCTGTAAAGGTAATGTTGCTTCAGCGTTGTTTCAACGCAATCAACTCGTGATGAAGGCTCTCCTAATGTCAGTGAGGGACCGTGACTGTTGGCCGGGTACGCGCTGGCTTTGGTTCACACTATGCTACTGGCCACGGTCCAGTCCGATATTATTTAATGCATTTCCATAGGAGCATTAACACCAGCCGTGCAAGGCACCTGTCGTGCTCATGGTATGACCGTGGCTGGCATATACCAGGCACGTGCCTGGCTGTATGGTGTGAACCTGGAGCAGGCTGGTCAGCTGTTCACGTATCACTTCGCTGGTTCATCGGTCCGGCTGCTGCGGTCGTGCTAGCAAAAATAGTTACGAGTTCGTAACTCTGTCAGCCAATCACAGACGATAAATCGGCCGCTATGTGTACCTAATTAGGCGTCTACTGCGTGTACTTAAGTGAGTTTTGATAGTACAGCCCCAGGTCCGTTATCACAATATTTGAATTATTTGTGCTCAATTATGAAGGTAATTAATCATTCATAACGAATAGTTACAAATTTATGCTTTGAAATTCCTAGATCAATAATCATGATTTCAATTGAAGTAGGATTGTAGTATCCTGCTTCTTGTCCAAATAAGATCTATGCATATTTTACTCAAAATGCCTATGGAAATAAAGAAATGAACAGGCTTATGGACTAGAAATATGCAAGTAGAAAGATGCTCAAACTCGCGAGTAACTAATTAGAGAAATATGCTGCGTTAATCGTTTTCATATTCGATGTTATCAACATGAGTCCTTGAATCGTTTACGTTAATATATACGTTCTCGTGATTCCATCAACTCAGACGATTCTATCCGGTCGTCTCTCGTCAGGCTAATGACTCTCGCTTCCAGTGCTCCTTAGTTAACAAAACCGTCGTTAAATTCATTGGCCAAACAATTAATGGACAACCAAGTAAAGCCATTGGAAATAAATCATTAGGTTTTTCCTTAGACCCGGATACTAAGGGCTGAATAACTAACTGCTTAACGTCGTTCTGATGGCGCTGGGTACAATCCGGAAGCCGGGCGCCTCTAAATCTGGCTTGGTTGTAAACCCGCGTCGATGGCGTGCAGACGATCGATGTTTCCCTGCCAGCCTCCGTCTAATTGAATGAGAAGCTTTGGTCGCTTCCTTCGTCAACAGCTTCATCCCTTTGCATCCTCAACCTCTGCTCAGACGCGGGCAACACGAGGCGGGCTTATGCTCATATTTTTTTGGCTTATTGCGAGCCTGATATGTTATAATTAACAAAATGTCCGTGATTGAATAACGGGTTCTTACATTCCGGCCTTCTTAAATGCCGACTTTCCTTTGCTTCCCAACGTATGTTTTGAGTCCATTCACTCTGATTCAATCTATTGTCAGATGAACATCTCGATCGTTTCATTTTTTTCGTAAATTGGAGGTATAGCAACACAACATTATTTCAATCACCGCGCAAAGTCTGTCATAACGGAGCGATTTGTGTTGTTCTGCAGGTCTTAAAACAGGCATATAACATACATATGATCAGATACCGCTATTGATATCACATTTGATCATTTCTACGCTACGTGACCAAATTTACGCGCCTCCAGAGAAGCTGTAAGCGCTTTAAATCCTGACCGAAGATAGTCCAGGTTGAAGCGAAGGGGCCTTCCGAGTTACGACTTTAAACAATGTTGATAATTGTGCTACTTAATAAGCCATGCGTGCTAAACTATATATCAGAATGTCAAGACACAAACTTGCCTGACGTGACTGTCCGCTACAACATGAAGATAACAGCTTTGTTCTGAGCGATTTTGGTGGGCGCAATATATCGCGTCATGGATTTAAGAAGCTACAAATTTAAAAAGGCTCAATGATTTAAAATGATGCACTGATTTAAAGAGCAACGGATTTTGAAAGGCGCATGGATTTAAAAATATGCACGAATTTAAGGAGCTACGAATTTAAAAAGACCCACGGATTTAAAAAGATGCACTGATTTAAAGAGCTACAAATTTAAAATGGTGCATGGATTTAAAAAGCGGATGCACATAACATTGAACTGAAATGCTTTGTCTGGAGGCCGCCGCCCGCCGTGACCGCGAAGATGAGAAGACGGCGCACCGAAGCCAGCGTCTCGAGTGCCGCGACTACTGACGATAACGAGGTCCGGGGGGACGATCTCTTGGACCTATACTTTCAAAAAAAAGTTCATCAGCCGTAAGATATAGCCGATCAGATCGTAAGTTCATCAGCCAATCATTGACGGCCTTTCAAGCAAAATCCACCAATCATAGACAAGAAAATAGAGCGTAAGTACTTACGTTCATTTAGCGAGTTTTGAAAGTATGGCCCTTGGTCCCTTAGCATCCACGAGGCGCGCCTGCGAGGTCAGGGATCCTGCCATCAGAACTCGCTACGTACACGTGGCGACCTAAGTACACGTAGCGACCTTAGTACACGTGGCGACTTAAGTACACGTGGCGACCTAAGTACACGTAGCGACCTTCATGTGGCGGCCTAGGTACACGTGGCGACCTAAGTACACGTGGCGACCTAAGTACACGTAGCGACCTTCGTACGCGTGGCGGCCAAAGTACACGTGGCGGCCTAAGTACACGTAGCGACTTAATACACGTAGCGGCAGATTTTCAGTCCTGTGATGGGCAGAGGGAGTAACTAACGGTAGCTGTTTTTGAAGGCATGATGGCTCCAGCACATCAATGGACCGAATGAAGGTGGCCGAAATAAAAATGGGTTATGGGGTCGAACCAATTATAATTTACTATTGTATCTCATGTGAATTCGCAGCCTGTATACATATTCGACTATTAATATATTTCGACAGAAGTTATTCTTTGATGCACGTTAGCATGAAAACCATGAATGAAAGCCGTACGGTGTTTTTGCTGGCGATTGATCATCGGAAAAAATTTTCAAAACGCACGCAACACGAAACTACGTTTCTAATGCAACGAAAGGCATTCATTCAAAGAGCATTTAAAACCTCAAAGTTTTAAACCGCAAATGACCTGAAAACTTAACAATTGACATGTGGACATAGTTTGGTGAACAATGGCCATGCAATCAAAATAATTGACATGCAATCAGAACAACTTAAACCGAAATTTCAAACTATAGATCGCGCCAAAACTCAGCACCAAACAGGAATATTAGGACCATCTACTGCCAAAACCAGATGGAGACAAATAAACGTGTTCAACTCACGGATAATTTATTCCGGTGTCTTGTTCAACATCGCCGAATGCGTCGTGTTGAACACAAATGTATTGTGTTGAACACAAATGTGTCGTATTGAACACAAATATGTCGTATTGAAGAGAAATGTGCCTTGTTGAACACAAATGTGTCGTATTGAACACAAATGTGCCGTGTTGAACACAAATGTGTCATGTTCAACACATATGTGTCATGTCCAACACACATGTGTCATGTTCAACACATATGTGTCATGTCCAACACACATGTGTCATGTTCAACACATATGTGTCGCGTTCAACACATGTGTGATATATTCAACACAAATGTGTCGTGTTCAACTCAAATGTGTCGTGTTGAACACACATGTCGTGTGTGCAGAAGTATCATCAAATGTGTCGTGTTGAACACAAATGTGTGTTGTGTGCAGAAGTATCACCAAATGTGTCGTGTTGAACACAAATGTGTGTTGTGTGCAGAAGTATCATCAAATGTGTCGTGTTGAACACAAATGTGTGTTGTGTGCAGAAGTATCATCAAATGTGCCGTATTGAGCACAAATGTGTCATGTTCAACACAAATGTGTCGTGTTCCACACAAATGTGTTGTTTTGAACACAAATGTGTGTTGTGTGCAGAAGTATCATCAAATGTGTCGTGTTGAACACACACGTGACATGTTCAACACAAATGTGTTGTTTGAACACAAATCTGTGTTGTGTGCAGAAGTGTCACCAAATGTGTTGTGTTCAACACATGTGTTGTGTGCAGAAGTATCACCAAATGTGTCGTGTTGAACACAAATGTGTGTTGTGTGCAGAAGTATCATCAAATGTGTCGTGTTGAACACAAATGTGTGTTGTGTGCAGAAGTATCATCAGCTGTGTCGTGTTGAACACAAATGTGTGTTGTGTGCAGAAGTATCATCAAATGTGTCGTGTTGAACACAAATGTGTGTTGTGTGCAGAAGTATCACCAAATGTGTCGTGTTGAACACAAATGTGTGTTGTGTGCAGAAGTATCATCAAATGTGTCGTGTTGAACACAAATGTGTGTTGTGTGCAGAAGTATCATCAAATGTGTCGTGTTGAACACAAATATGTGTTGTGTGCAGAAGTATCACCAGCTGCGTATCAAGATCCTGGGCGACTGCTACTACTGCATCAGCGGCGCCCCGCGCGAGCGTCCTGACCACGCGGTCCTCTGCGTCCACATGGGCCTCTCCATGATAGAGGCCATCAAGTGGGTCATGGGCCTCTCCATGATAGAGGCCATCAAGTGGGTCATGGGCCTCNGAATGTATTACCTGTATTACCCTGATGTATTACCCGATACGTTAACTTGTTTCCAAACTTTGATCTGTACAAGTGACTTTAAATGTAATAATTTAATTTTAAGACTTGACTAATTTCTCATAGAGCTCCATGCAGAACAGAGATAAGAGGCCCTTAATTAAAGGCTGGCTGATTAGAGGAGATTGCTGAATGAAAGAACGCTTCATAAATAATTTATTAGACGCCTTCCCAGCACCACACTTCTGCTTCATTCCTTGAGCTTCATTTTTGTTTATATATTTTTTCATATTTATAAATTACTTCAAGTAATAGCTTATGTTAGCAATAATGTTGCTCACAATATCACTCAAATACATTTTTTAGATTTATAAACCACATCAATTACTAGCTGATGTCTCTGACAAAATTATTTATAAATGCACTACAGAGTTATAAACCACTTCAAGTATAGCTCTTATCGCTCACAATGCTATGTTATAAACCACTTCAAGTATAGCTCTTATCGCTCACAATGCTATGTTATAAACCACTTCAAGTATAGCTCTTATCGCTCTCAATGCTATGTTATAAACCACTTGGCGCAATGTTGGGCGTCATGTTTTCCCTCAGGTCATATTTTCCCCTAGTCATGTTCAAAATATCTTTTAAAAACACTTTACAAGTTTATACCACATCTAAATCATAACAAATTATATCTTTTAAAAAAACTTTACAGGTTTTTACATCATTTAAATAATAACAAATATAAACCACAATACAATTTAAAAATGTTTTTAGGTCTATAAATCACATAAAGTAACGTTTTTCGTCTCCTTTCTCTCGAGGTATGTGCGGGAGACCACAGGCTGTGGCGTAGTCATCGCTCTCAAGGCTATGCTATAAACCACTTCAAGTATAGCTCTTATCACTCTCAATGCTATGTTATAAACCCCTTCAAGTATAGCTCTTATCGCTCACAATGCTATGTCATAAACCACTTCAAGTATAGCTCCTATCACTCACAATGTTATGTTATAAACCACTTCAAGTATAGCTCTTATCGCTCTCAAGGCTATGCTATAAACCACTTCAAGTATAGCTCTTATCGCTCACAATGCTATGCTATAAACCACTTGGCGCAATATTGGGCGTCATGTTTTCCCTCAGGTCATGTTTTCCCCTAGTCATGCTCACAATATCTTTTAAAAGCACTCTTTAAGTTTATACAACATTTAAATAATAACAAATTTAAACCACAATACAATTTAAAAATGTTTTTAGATCTATAAATCACATAAAGTAACATTCTTCGTCTCAATTCTCTCGAGGTATGTGCGGGAGACATCAGGCTGTGGCGTAGTCATGCTCAGAATATCTTTTAAAACCACTCTTTAAGTTTATACATGATTTAAATAATAACAAATATAAACCACAGTACGGTTTAAAAATGTTTATATCTCTATAAATCACATGAAGTAACGTTCTTCGCCTCCTTTCTCTCGAGGTATGTGCGGGAGACGACCGGCTCTGGCGTGGACATGCGCGTGGGCATCCACACGGGGGCGGTGCTGGCGGGGGTGTTGGGGCAGCGGCAGTGGCAGTTCGATGTCTACAGCAAAGATGTCGTCCTGGCCAACAAGATGGAGTCCAGTGGCAAGCCGGGGTTAGTGGCGAGTCCAGTGGCAAGCAGGGGTTAGTGGCAAGTCCAGTGTCAAGCAGTGGTCAGTGGCAAGTCCAGTGGCAAGGCGGGCTTAGTTGCAAGTCCGGTGACAAGCAGGGGATGAGTTTCTGGTGTTGTAGCAAGTGGCAAGCCAAGGTCAGTGACAAATCTGGCGGGAAGCCGAGGTCAAAAAGCTGTAATTGTGTGTTCTTGTGATATCCTTGTTAAGGACTAAGACAAGAAAAGTTCCATAACTGTTGCAGGCGCGTACACATCAGCAACACGACGCTGGAGTTCCTTGGTGAAGACTTCGAGGTGGAGCCTGCGCACGGAGAGCGACGCGAGGACGCCTTCAGAGTCGTTCTGGCCAGATGATGAGTAGTGAACCCAGAAAGGTTGGGCTTATGTGCCATGAATGCAATCAGGTCGCATTGGCTATAAGAAATTAGAATTTATTGACTGTAAGTAGTTATGTTTTATTGTCTTTAAGTATAGCTGGGTGGTCAAGTGGCTAAAGTTCAGAGTACCAGAATTTGAGAGGTGAGTTAGTGATTCGGTACCAGTAGCCAACTGTAACAAGTCCTGGTCGAAATCGACAACATACCTAATGGCCAAATCTATAACACTTGTCCCGTATTCCCGTTATCATCATCATTATTATTGTCTATAATAACACTATTAGTAAGTAATTAAGTTATATTTCCTGCCATGGTGACAGTACAAGCCACGGCCGTCCCTGAACATGCTCAAGAACGGCACTCGCAACAACAGCACGAGTGGCGCGAGTGGCTCCCAGCAGCACTCGCGGGAGGGCACCTCCGACAGCAACATGGTCAGCCGCGACTCTCTGGTGAGTGAGAAGACCGGTGTGGTCTTTGAACGGCCCATTCATATGCCATTTATAGGCCCTTCATAGGCACTTCATGGTCCCTTTATAGGCCCTTCATAGGCACTTCATGGTCCCTTCATAGGCCCTTCATTGGCCCTTCATAGGCCCTTTATGGGCACTTCATGGTCCCTTCATAAGCCCTTCATAGGCCCTTCATAGGCACTTCATAGGCCCTTCATAGGCACTTCATAGGCCCTTCATAGGCACTTCATGGTCTTTTCATAGGCACTTCATGGGCTTTTCATAGGCCCTTCATGGTCCCTTCATGGTCCGGCTAACGTGCCAATGATGTCTGACATATACTGTGCAGGCAGGATAACTATGCGCCTGTACAAAATACGACCTGTGTCCTCCTGCTTTTTGTTGCGTTGTCATATTCATTGCAAGGGTTTTCGATGGATCGAACTCTGCGTTAAGTTTATTATGTTACTTTACTTTTTCAGCTGCTCGAGTTCTTAGTAGTACCTATACATAATCTGTGATAAAAGAGCTGAAAAGTATAGCTTCGCACGCAACTGCTGCAGCGTATAGCCCCGCACGCAACTGTTGCAGCGTATATAGCCCTGCACGCAACTGTTGCAGCGTATAACCCTGCATGCAACTGTTGCAGCGTATAGCCCTGCACGCAACTGTTGCAGCGTATAGCCCTGCACGCAACTGTTGCAGCGTATAGCTCTGTACGCAAATGTTTAAACGTTGCGCGCAACGAAGCATAAAGCCGCCCTGAGAAGCAGCGTCGCTTCACGGTAGCCGTGCATCTTTAAGGCAGCACAGCCCGGTGTGCTATGCCTGCCATGCCATGGCTGCCTTCATGCCATGGCTGCCGTCATGCCATGCAAGCCGTCATGTCACGGCAGCCGTTATGCCGTGGCTGCCACAGCCATCCCATTACCCTTCGTCTATTATGACCCTCACTTTTCTCAGCTGCAAAGTTCAAGCGACTGAAGTGCTCCCAGCACCAGCTCGCCTGCATCGCTGCAGTCAACTGAAATATCGGCGAAACACGGCCGAACTTTTCCGTCTCGTTTTTTTCACGCATCATCATAATTTAGTTAATAAGAAGAATCTACTTGAGGAATTCAATTAAGGGGAGCGTCTGGGGTAAAATTTTGAATTTTGGCTTTTCCGGTTTTTAGTCTCATCTTAAAGCTGACATTCTGCTCTATCCAACGGTACCAAAATCATCTCTGTACGTTGATTTATGCGTTCACGACCTGTCTCTTATACACATCTAGATGTGTATAAGAGACAGAGAGACGCTCTGTCTATGCCATCAAACGAGACGCTCTGTCTATGCCATCAAACGAGACGCTCTGTCTATGCCATCAAACGAGACGTCCTGTCTATGCCATCAAACGAGACGTCCTGTCTATGCCATCAAACTAGACGCTCTGTCTATGCCATCAAACGAGACGCTTTGTCTATG